TAGCCTCCGTTTAGAGTGCATCAAATACTAAGATAGAGAAGGAAAAATCCCTGGACATCAGTTACAGTAATTGGTGGAAGGCACCGTTCCGGAGGGTAATGAGCTCCATTTTTAAAGCACGAGGAAATTAGATTCTTATAAATGTCAAACGCAGTTATTGTCCTCTTTCCTTGAAACAGAGCTGAGCTGGCTGGAGCCCATTGTCTCTCAATCAGCTTTGCTATGGATTAGACACATCCCGTCTCACACCAGGAATGTGCTTATTAGAAAAAACATCACTACACAAAGCATATGAGCTTTAACACTCAACCGATGTACTAATGGGTACATATACAATAAAAGCCAATATCGTGTTACAAACCTTAAGCTGACCTGAGATAATATGATACAGAAATCTTAAAGGATACAGATGAGTGTTTTCTTTGTGTACTACAGTTCTGACTACCTGGGATTTTATTTTTTAAGTAAAGGAGATAAAGTGAGAGAAGGTGACTTCTCCTCTTGGCTACTTAGGATAAAAGCAAGCAGTAAGTCGTCTTCATAGTGGATATGCTTGTAATCAGGTCATGTCCAAATACTTTGTGTGTTTTACTGGTGTCTCCTGGGTAACTGTGGCTTCACAGAGGACTTTCTCCATCCACCTTTTTTCAGTTCTGTCCTGGAAAAAAACCCCAAGAGGTAGTTATTTGTTCATACATCAAAGCCAACTCTGTGAATTAGTCTTTTATTCATTATAAAATCTTACCAGTATATGTTAAGACTCCTCACTTCGCAAAAACTGATAGCATTTGTTTGGGGAGGGTAAAATGTGAGGAGGATAGAGGGCTTTGTAAAATCAGACTCCTTTGCTGCATCCTTATTTTTAACTTCTTGCCTGAGGATAACAATCACTTGTCCCTCCTTAGCTAGAGGTTGTATCTTGTTTACTCTCCAGGGTAGGAGCTCCGTTGGAAAGTGGCACAATCCTTCATGATGTAGGAAGGCTTAAAGATGGAGCCAAGCTCTCAATTCCCTTTTGCAAGGATAAGATACAGACTCAAACTTGTGTGGACTTTACCACATACTAACCCAAACTCTGAGTGATGCACCATGCTGTTTCCAAGATGGTCGTGTGTCAAACACGTGCCATGGACATGCTGTGTTGGAGACCCTACTCAGAACTGCTGCAGGATGGCTTTAAAGCTGATGGTGGGGGTAATGCAAGTCTGTGCTATCTTCCATGCAGGAAACTCAGCTACATGCAAAAGCAGATGAACTATTCATTTTTGGTTTTGTTTTTCCAGAAACCTGTATTTACAAGTTCTTTTTTCCCAGTTGCCTTTTTAATAATATCAAGTCTTCCTTCTGATCTTCTCCATCTCAGTTTGTGCTTTTTTTCTCATTTCTGCTTCTACTAGATGAAGTTCCTGGTGTTGCCCATAGAAAGCAAACAGTAACTTGAGACTTCTATTTTACACAACCAACGGATATTGAAAGCTATTCCTAGCATATATCACCAGACGTGTGAACAGCACTTTCCAATTAAAACTCAAGGAATTTCTACTGGTTGCTGAAAAGCCCTGCAAAACATTGAACTGTAGACTTGTATCCATTAACACCCATCATGGAAAAAAGATCCAGTTACTTATATGGCAGTCATTATATTTATTTAAATTTAGTTTCGTAAGATAAAATGAGCTCAACTATTGGGGAAAAACATCTTGAGCATCTTAAAAATATCTTCAAAGCCTGGAACAATCATGAAACACATTAAATGAGTTTTCTGTGATTTGGGACAACTTTTAGTTCTGATAACTTTCCTTAATGCCTACATTACAGCTGCATGTAGCCCTGTAAATTAAATAAAGAAACAATTCAAGGTATCTCTGACGTAGCCTGGTGGTTAAATGGTAATCAGCAGCTGGTGATTAAAACATACATATGACTCAAATCGCAAATCCAAAGTCAGCATTTACCTTCCACTGTTCTCATTAGCTAGGCACTTTACTTAATTGGGACTCTAGCGCAAGTGTTATTAATTGGCCCTTCTGGCGCAGGGATGTGAAGTGCTGCTGCCTCCCTGCCTGCCTCCCCCAGGGAGCTCTGCGGCCTTTTGCCAACTCCATGGCAGTCGCTTCTGGGGTTGGTGCAGCCTTTTGCATGGTTGCACTGCTCTGGCAAAAAACAGGTTTCCCACCAGCCGGAGGGAGCCCACAGGCACCTCCATGGCTGGTGGTTGCTTGCTCTGGTCTCAGGCATGTTTTCTCACAGGCAGGTCCACCTTCAGGCTTTCGTACCCCATCTTCGTAGCCGAGGTGCATGCTGCTTTTCCTCACTAACATGCCTCCTTCTGACCATTAAGTTTATTAAACCATTAACAGACACAAATTTTCTAGCCAGCAGAACCTAGCTTGGTTGCAATGAACCTTGCACAGTTCCTGGCCCTGTTAGGTCTGCAGACAGCCTGGCAACGCATGGAGGGCGTCTTCGTGTCTTCTCTGCCTATGTGGGCTGCCCAAGTTTTACATGTTTTCCCTCTCAGATGGTCTTCTGTGGTGCAGAGAAGTTTTTTCTGTTGGCTCTCCCTGCAGAAAGCAGGTAGGTAGGGTGGTGTGTAACATCTGCCAGTGTAACATCTGCAGCTCTGCTGATGCTCCAGACTGGTGGGGACAGAGTATCAGGGAGGAGGACAGGAGCAGAGCAGGTGCTCGATGGGGTAGCCTCTGGCTTGGCTGTTTCTGCAAGCCCAGATGGCTCTCCCTGGGAGCAACCCATCAGCAGCACGTCTCCTGAAAAGGGCTTTCTCTTCTTGGTATTTTGGAAGCTGCTGGATTAACTGGAGATAGGTGGCCACACAACAGCCTGGCTGATCCTGTTTTTTCCTGTGGTTTGGCCTTCTGCCTTAAATAACCCTATCTGATGGGTATCTTTATTTATTCCAACTGTGTGGGGCTGGTGTACTCCTGTCTCAGGGTGTCTCACTCATGAGTCTGTGTGTCTGCTTCATGTCGGCACAAAACAGGGAGTCTGGGTGTTCTTGGGTTGGGAACCTTCTTATACAATGCTGCAACTCTATTCCTCCGTATTCAGCAATTGTTTTCTTCTTTGAGGTCTTATGACTCTTAAGCACGTAGCACCCACACGGTAAAAAACACTGGGCTTCACAGACAAAAGAAATCGTTCTGCTATCAGCACACGGATGTTACGAAATAGTGCTGTGTTTGTACATCAGTCACTTTTCCAATATTAACTCAGCTGTTTTCCATTTATTTTTAAAATACCGCATCTGTCCAGTCCTCCTTGTAAGCCTAATTTTAAAGATCACAGGAGATAGAGCAACAAGACTAAGAAAGATGAAGCCTTACTACTAAGCCTGTAGACTCTTGAGTACCAAGTTCCAGCCTGAAGTAATTTTAGCATCAAGTGAAAGACAGAGGAGCAAAGAGAAGTGTTAATAATTGTAAAAGGCATGCTGCAGGCTTGCTCCAGCTCACGTGCCAGAGCCTTAGATGGGATTTTGTGTGGGGAGGATGAGTTTCTTGGTTTTGGGAAGCTCCCAACTACAGTTCCGCGTTGCAGTATAACCTATGAGCATTCTCCATGCGGCACAAAGACCTGCCTTCATCCCATTCAACTTTAAACTGAAGCATCTACTTTAACAGTGGCTCATCCAAGGTTTTTTCTGTAAAGTGACTGGAGAACGAGGATGTGCTAGACAGAAAGAGGAACCTGCAGAGAGCAGATCAATCTTGGATAAGGTGATGCCTCCAGTGTATAGACATACATCACCTGTCCTGGCAGCCCATGGAGACCTGCTCTTGCCTTTTGGGCCTGGGCTTCAGGGTTAATGGGATCGTTCATAAATGCCATACAGCCAAGTCATGGAAAATGAGCAGGAGAAGGGGGCTTAGGTGGATCACATCTGCTCCCTCCCTTGTTCCCTGAGGCCAGCACCGCTCTTAGGAAGGTATGACAGCCAAAGCATGTACTACTATTGCTCTGAGGGTGCCGCAGTGAGGGTGAAGGACTAAACGCCACCACATCTTTCTCTGCTGTGATAAGTATAATTTGGCAGACCCCAGGAGTAGGGCTGCTAGATTGGCTTCTGTTGGTATATGGTGCTGGAAGACAAGTAGCATGTCACCTTCTTTAGCTTCCTGTGTTTCTTCTAGACATGCTAAATTTATCACGTTAAATAAATAAATGACCTGTGGGACATGCAAAAATCAGAGCTGTGTAGCAGGTCTTCACTGTGTCTTCCACGACGTTAATGCTTGCTGGGTATCTCTGATTAATCTCTGTGAGGACGTTTCACTGAACATGAAGATGCTGCTGTATGGGATCAGGTTCACAGATTTCTGTGGCTGAGCCCATATTTATATTGACATCCTGCAAGCTGTAGGCATAAGCTTTTGGCGAGTGGTTAGTTGCTTCTTTTGGCTTACAAGGCACCAAAATGATGGTGCTTGAACACAGTGAGCATTAGCCCCTTACAGATGCTGATGATGTGAGCGATGTGAGTGAAAATGAACATTTACTGATTTGAGGATATTTTTTTTCTGCTGACTGAAAAGGGGCTTGAGGCAGAGCTGCCATCTTTGTGGCTGGTAGAGCCACGTCTTGTGTCTGAGCAGTGTGGAAGGAGAGAATGACACTCCTCTGCCGGTGCTTTTTCCTGCTCAAATCCAAGGGACAGGATTTGCAAGAGAGGCTATTACTGTGCAGAGGGAATGAACTTAATATGTGTTTTGGACCCCTCATCTGCCTCCCCTGGATGCCGCGTGGTTCCCGTACAAAGGCAAGAGCCTGATCGCTGCTGTTGACACTCCATCCCCTCCAGACCACAAAGGCCTCTGGAGAGAGCTGGGCAAATGTGATGGTCAGGGACAGAAAGGATCCTGCCATCCATCTTGCTAAATGCGTGTTAAAGGACTTAATTCCTATTAACAACATGTATTTCTGGTAGTTTTTTTAAATTTTTAAATGATACAATATATTCTAAACAACTTTCTTTTAAACAGGTTGAAGCCATGAAGAGAGCACTAGAAAGTCTCAACCTCAATATAGTAGAGATGGTAGATGAAAACGCAACCCTGGATGGTGGAGACGTCTTATTTACAGGTATAGTGGTAGTGAATTTTCTATTTAGATATTCTGACTGCCTCGAGGACCGCGTGTTATCTGTCATCTGCGTAATAACATGTCGTTCGTGAGTTTGTTAAATCAGTTGTTTACTAAATGTCAGGAAGGTAGCCGGGAGATGAATTTTCAATGCAACCCTTGATGTCCTGCCTAATGCCTGAATAAATGAAGTTGCAGTACACATAGTACAAAGACCTGCACTGTGCATACAAATTTTATTTTAGCTTGTAAAGTGCCAATAAGAAAAATGCTTTCAGTAGTCAGCTGCCCGCAGTTGTTTTATATTTCTTATTACAAGCAGCTACGTTCACCAGACTCGTTTAAAAGCTTGATGCAGACAATTGTCACTAGTTCAATGAATCAAATGTAAAAAATGCATTTTTAGTTTATGGGGAAAGTGGTGGAGTTGCCTGCCAGATGTCATGTGCTAGACAACTTACATGCATGGTTGACTTCAAAGATGAAGATACTGACTGTGTTTTTTATGTCATTAAACCCATTAGGCATTTTCTCACATCGGCTGCGCACACGCTTGCTCCCTGCCTGTGCTGAATGAGCCTGTTTATTTTGATCAGCATCACAGTAGCCTGGCTGCTTGCCTTAGCTCACCAAGGGGAAAGAAGGGTCTCAGAAGAGGCAGACCGGGAAGGGAGGCCTTTCTAATGCAGTGCAGATCCAGCAGTGATTTCCTCTGGAGCTGGAGGATGCCGGTGGCTGCAGAGCTGCCTTCCAGGCCAGAGGAAATCTCAGAGGGAGGGGGAAATGGTCAATCAGTGCTGTACTAATCCAGCCCAGCTGTTCTCTTTCCTGACTCAATGACCATTGCAGAGCTTTAGAAGAGGAAGCTATTTATGTTTCTGGTGAAATGTGTCTTCTGGAAGAAGATAATTGCTTTAAATTATCAGCTCACAATTGCAGGTTGCATTCTTCTAAGCTGAATTTTCAGTTTTACTATTCAACTTGAGAAAAGAAAGAAAATGATACCTATGAAAGATTGCTTCAGAATGTCTATAAAGCTGTCCTGTTTTTAAAACATGTATGTTCTGATGAAGTAACTGCTGTGGTGATTTTTTTGGATGGCTGAAAAAACAAAAAAGCTGTAATTGTTTTGCCCTTCAATTTTTCATTCCAGGAAGAGAATTTTTTGTGGGTCTTTCCAGGCGGACAAATCAACGTGGTGCAGAAATTCTGGCTGACACATTTAAGGTTTGTAGATTCATTCATACCACAGGAAATATAAACTATCATCCACTGAACCAATTTAAAAATTATTCTGGCCAAGACGTTTGTTGTACTCAAGTGCAAAGGCTTGAGCATCCTGTAAAGTGACAGAAGCTGAAGTTGGATCTGAAATGTGAGATTGCTGCACAAAAGCAACTTGGATAGTGGGAGGCTGTTACTATTTGAGAGCATTTCAACACTCATGTTCTTAATGTTCTCATGTATCGGCAAAATGTTCTTAATGTTGGTCCCTGGAGAGTTTTTATGTGCGTACTGTTTAATTTCACATTTTAATGTATTTCTTTACAGTTGCAGCACAATAGTAATATTTGAACAGTAGTAATATTTGAAACATGTTCGGGGTTTTATTCCAGTGCACCAGACAAGACAAGCTGGTCCAGAGGGGTATGTCATACTTAAACAGTTGACACTGTACCCTGGGATATGTTGCTATTGTTAATTTGCAGAGAGTAAAATTAATTATGGAATGTCTCAATATAATTATGGAACTAGGACAATTTAAAAATATTTATAGCTATCATTCTTTGCTCCCATACAGGATTATGCTGTCTCCACAGTCCCTGTTCATGATTCTTTGCATCTGAAGAGCTTTTGCAGCATGGCTGGACCAAACTTGATTGCTATTGGATCAAGTGAAGCTGCACAGAAAGCCCTCAAGGTAAAGCAAATGAGAAAATTTTCTAAACAACAAATTTGGGCTTTTTGTTTTTAATCTCTGCTCAAGGATGCTGGAATTTTAGAATAGATATAGATCAATGAAAGAGGAAATCGGAACATCTCAGGATCCCCTGTATGTGCAAACCATAAAGAATGTTTATATCAGGCAAGAGAACAGTGATGTTAATTTAACTTTAGCTATTTTCAGGAAATAAATGGATTATACAGGTTAAAATGGAGTATGGAGGTTATTACTTACAGCTTTGTTGACTAGAAAGGTGGTAATTTGGGTGACAGGAGGGAGAAAAGAGATATCATCAGAGCAGTAGGAGATGTTTACTTCAGATATTGCCATGAGGAAATGTGACTTTTAAAATTGCCAGAGGGGAAGTAAAAGTTTTGACATGAAGGAGGAAGGAGAGGGGTCTAATCCCTGTTGCAAAAATGACCTGTGTACACATTTTGTGGTGTAGAATTTCTGGATAAGATCGATAAGTAACTCCAGCTGCAGGGACCAGAGTCCAGGACTCCCATCCCTTCTTCCTCCATCACCTGGCTGCAAAGTCAAGTTCCTTCCTGGTCACGCTTTTTACTCTCTAGTCCCATGAGTGTCTTATAACAGCAGAAAGGAGTGAGAGCAGTCTCACCCCAGCCTTGCTGATACTTTGAGTCTCTGAACATCATCGTTTAAAGTGGGAGGTATGGGTTTGAACCCTCAGGCTAAGAGGCCTTGTGAATCGGGGTCTGTCTTCACTGGCAGACCTGTGAACCAGTAAGCTGTTGTGTAGCAGCTCAACGCTGTGCTACCACCATCATCCTCAATGGGAAATATTAATTGCTCCTGTGGTTTACACCGGGCTCAGTAGCTTTCCTGCCTGCTGGGTATGTTCAGAGCAAATCTACCAAATTAAGCTTTCTCGGAGCTGTAGGCACAGGGACACCTGAGGCCATGAATATCACTACACACATAGGCAAGGAGACAGCTCACCCAGGAGATCAGCATCTCTGCTGGTGCACGGTAGCACAGCTGCAGGCACTGACGCTTTGCAGCAGAAACACCAAAACTGCAAAGTGCAACTGAGACTATACCTGAAGTGAAGCTTGAGGCAGTTTATCCCTCTTGATAAATTAGGATCTACCATCCTGCAGGGTTTGGTTTGAGACACAGGTGATCCAGAGCATGTCTGAAAGCATTACAGCTAAGTGTTTTACACATTTTTATCAGAACTCACCTCCAAGGTAAAACCAAAGTCTACTTTTCAGTGATGGCAGCAGGTCCCAGGTTTTCAGCTGGTGATTATACTGATTCTTGTGACAATAAATAAGAACCTAAGTGCAGGCTTTGCTCTTTGGTTTTGCAGAAGCCTCCTTGATGAAATATGATTACTAAGGCATGGAGGAAGCCACCTGTGTGTCCCTTACGTAAATGAGAAGGGATGGAGAATAGCTCTGCTTAACTAGTGAGAAAGCTCTCTGAAATCTTCTCAGTTTAAATGCAACTTACGCAACCCAACTTGTATCTCTTGCCCTGATTCTAAAGCATGCATCATTTTAAAGAACAGTTCTGCTATCAGTGCCCAAGGCTGCTGATCTGAATTTGTGCCAGGCAGAACATTTATGACAGAAATAGTATGTAACTCTGAAATCAACATCCCTGGCCTCCAAAGAGCTTAGGAACCCATCCTGCACATCTTGTACACCTCCTCGGCTTTAGTAAGCTAGTGATATTTATTACTTTAAAACATCCTGAAGTATTTGTGAGATGGACACCCGAGAGACTTCTTGTCCTTACTGCCATGCTGCAGTATTTCATTGCACATTTGCTTTTCAGATTTATAAATTTTCCTCATGGGCATAATCCTAGGATTTATCATTTCCCAGCAGCATCATTTTTACTATCAGAGCTCAGCAGAGAGTTAGTGTGGTTTGGTTTTTTTTTTTCCTTTTTCTTATCTTGTGACAGTTCAAGATTTAAAATGTCTCAGTCCCCAGCTAAGATAAAACCAACATTTCAAATCTCAGAATCTCCCCTGCTGGACATGGGTTGAATTATGGAGGCCAGGAAAGTGCAGTTTTGGCTGGCTTAGACTTGCAGCCTGGCAGCCATTAAGGGAATAGGAGAGCAGCCTGATTGCTCTGTGTGAGCTTAGAGGAGCTCTTAAACAAGAGGACAGTCCCTTGGCTTCCCACATAGTTTGGAGTGGCTTTAAGTTTGCTCATTCATTTGAGCAAGCTGTCGAAGTTACTTTCTTATTAGAAATCACTATGTGAAGCTCTGGGAACACATTCCAGCTTGTCACCCATGTCTTCTCCCCTGGGAAACTGGGTTTTGGTTGCAAAGTTCTGATGTTCTGATGCTGTGAGATTGATTTAGTTGGGGATGGAAAATGGCCTGCATCTTTCCCTGTGAAATAAACACTATCCCATATATTCAGGCTCAAACTCGAAATGCATCGTGAGCAGCAGCCTGATGAAGTTTGCAGATATGCAGACAGCCCTACACTTGTATAGAGTGTTTATAAACATGAACAAAAGTCAAGTACAATACTGGTTGCTCAGAGCTACAATTTGAACTTGAGCCAGGACTAATCTGAGAACTCATCAGTTTGATTAAAGCCTTTTGCACAGCTCGGCTAATCATGTTGCAGTGCATCAATTTAGCTATTGTAGCCAAAAATATTTTTTGGATAAGCTGACTAAATGTTGCTGGTAATTAGATGTCAAGTAAACACCAGCATTAATCCAGGTACAGTAAAAAGCAGATACATTTTTAAAAGAAAATGGTAATTATCAAGATAATCTAGCACTCTTTGATTGTTGGTGGATACCTTTTAAAAATAAATCAACTATGTCAGTTTTCTGTGTATTTCTCTGTGCTGGAGATTTCACAGTATATTTACATGTGCGTGACGGTCGTGTTTGCTCGCACCCTGCCAGCTGAGGTTAGGGACTCTGGCCAGGAGCAGCAGTTTTGTGCCGCAGCACGTTGCCTTCTCACCCTCCCAGCGAGCTGACAGGTTACCTCAGGCAACCATGACACAGTCAGAGCAAAATATGAAGTTACCCAGAGTGTGTTTCTCGCTCAGTGTATTGGATCCATCTTCACTCTCATCCTGGGGAACCTCTAGCTGTTTCTCCAGGAGTCTAAATCTCTTCAGAGAAATTATTGGAAAACAAATAGATAAAGCATCTGTCTGGGAAATGACGGAGTTGGCAGTGCTGCTTATCACTAGCTTTCTCTAATGTTTGAATTCTTGCTTTTTGACCTTAGTGATTTCTTTGTATTTGTTCATTTGCCTCCAAAGAAAAAAAAAATCAGTTGGTAATCAGCTCTTGCAGTCTTGTGGAAATGCAATTGCAATAGGATCTCTATGAGGCACTGAATTAAAAGCTGCTTTCTGATTACACCAGATCAACTGAGCTCTAGCAGTGCTGTCAGCTGCTCCTCTCGTTACCCATCGCAATCTGTGTGGCAGAACGGTCCCCTGGGCCTCTGCTCAGTCATTTGCCTGGCACAGCCCAGCATGCCACTCCTTCATTGTGATAGCCTGTTATTTTAAACCTCTCCTTTGTTGTTGCTGTTTTTCATGTCTGCTCTGGAAATGCAATCGTACAAGCAAGATGATTAAGCCATCTTTAACTATCTCTGGTAGTCGGGTTGTTTCCACTCTGTAGCGTGTCTTGTTAGGCAACAAGTGAACTGCTCTGTCATGCTATGCTAGCAATGTATATTTAAAAGAGGATTTATCTTCCTACTAACAATCTTGTTCGAAAGAAAAATATTTCTTGATTGTTCTTACTGGTGCAACTCCTGTATCCTTACAATGCTTGTAAAGCAGAAAAAGGAGTTGCATCTGGTGCTCGCATATGGCAGAGTGCAGTTGGCCCTGGGTTCAGCACTGTGTGTGTAATGCAAAGCGCTGCAGCGAGCTGGGAAACGAGCGCACAGAGCTTAGGGTTGTAGATGCTAGAAGCAGATAATAAATCAGAAATGACATTTTAACCATGAAATCCTCTTCAGGCTCTGGCAAGTATAGAATATTTGGACTGCAGCTGAAAAGTGGCACTTGAGGAAACTGGGTGAAAGAGAGACAAATTAACTGCAGGAACTACTGGGGCCTGTAGTGGCTCTCACATCTGAAACTCTAACTTCACTCTGCTGTTTTCGGCATGCGTTTTATTCCTCCTTGTAGTTAAAGCTGTTCATAATTCCATACACGTAACTCCATAGTTGAACATTGGCCATGGCAGTTGAGCCGGTAAAGCCTGGGATTATTATTTATGTTCCCTCAGTGAAGCCAGGATTTCCTTCAAACGTGTCACCTTTGGGCTGTGATCCTGCACTGGTGGAGTCGCTGACCTTTACTGTGACCGTGCATGAGGATGAACTCAGGCTGTGAGGGTGCTGGCCCCGCTGTGGGGAGGTGACGGGGCAGCCCTGCGGGCAAACGCCCTGCGCTGCTTTTTCCACAACAAGGGATACAGCCCTGGGGTCTTGCTGGGGCAGCAGATGGGCAGGACCCGGCCCGGGACATAATGCAGTTCAGGTTCTAGCAGCAAAGGCAAACACTAGGCAAGATGACAATAGGAACTGTGACACTGCATCTGTTACATGCTCCTTTCTGTACTTTCACTCTATACTAAATCCTGAAAAGCCATGTTTCTGGCCTTGGCTGTTCGTGTTCATTGGTAGAGCAAAAATTCCCTCTGCTTTCTGTGATGAGCAAGGACCAGGACAGCAGCAGATGATGGTGAACACCATTTGATTTAAGCAGCTTTGTTTATGGTCAAACCATTCGCTGTTACCCTTTAGATAACTCGGTAGCAATCCCAAAGGATCTGAGGGTTACACATGTTCCCATCTTTGGCAATCTCAACTATTCCTTTGCAAGCAGTTTTATATTTGTAGCAAGTGCCTGCTAATGATGTTGTTCTCTCACCCATTGGGAAATTAGGGTTGTCCTTTGGGTAGGTTCTGAAGTCAGGACTATCCCCAGGATG